CGTCGTGATCTCGCCGCGAGCATCGGCTCGGTGACGCAGCGGTTATTGTCTGGATGTCGCACGGTATTCACGACCACCCGTTGTATGCCCGTACACATGGTCGCATAGGCGAAAAGAATATACGAGCGAGCAAGGTGAGTGGAACCGAGAGGGCACGACGACGAGGGCCTGAGAAAGAATGGACGGACGAGAAACGGGGGGCGAAGGGTGAGGGAGGCGAGAAGGGAGTGGGGGAGAGGGACGGAGAGAGCGAGAGACGAACGGAGAGAGAGCGAGAGGAAGCGCTAGGGTTCTGCGATGGAGAAGGACGACGGCCGGAGTGGGTGCGGCGGGGCGAGGGGGGAAGGGCGGGAGGGGAACGAACGGAAGACCTTGCACAGCGTGGCTCCGAGCCGCGTAGAAAACGCCGCTTTGTGTCGGGGTACCCGGCATAAGAGAGGAAGTACAGGTCTAAAGGAAAAGAAGGCCCTCGTGCGTCTCCGATGCTGCTGCCGCCACCACCGCCGCTGCTGCTGCTGGCGATTCGCGCACCTAAAGGTCTTTTCACACGGCTGCCTCTCACGACGCTCCGCAAGACAACTGGATGCCTTCTCGGCCACGGTAGAAACGGAACGCCCGATATTTTTCTCCGGCGACTTTCCTTCCACGTCTCCTCGACCCGTGCCGAAGCCAACCTCTCTGGAAACGAGCATCCCGGCCGAGCAGAGCACCGAGAAATTGGAACGGGACACGAAAATGCAAGCCCTACACACGCCCCGTGGCCTCATACCGTCCTACCCAGTGTCTTTCAATTTTTAATGCGTTTTTATTCCTCGGCCGGCCAGCAGCGCCGCTTTATTCCGAGGCCGGAGATCTCTGAATCACTGTGGCAATTTTCGAAGCTCTATTTCGTCTGCAGTTTGACGAGGACCGCTCGTGATGCAGATCGTTCGTTATAATCTGTTGATACTTCATTTAAAACGAGACTCTGGATTTATTTTTAGGCCTTCCTCCAAATAACCGACAAAGAGTATTTATTGTTTCTGCAATTTTGGAATGGGATACGTGGAACCGGTCATTTTGGCTGGCGTGGTAGCTGTTTGGCGTTTATTGTGAGTGTTGTCCCGTTCTTAATGGTCGGATTATAATTCTGTTACCTTGTCTTCGATATTCAATATATATATAATTATATTTAATATGAATAATAATATTTGATATATACATATAATTTCATTCCATATCCTCGACAATGATTTGTCGAACATATCGATGAAACGAAATTTGGAAAGGCAGTTAAAAATAACTGTACGCGTATTTTCCTTTTCCCCTAAGAAATCACTCCAATCGAAGAGCTTCTAATCACCGCAATTATCATTATCTCCAATCACTTGAAGAAAACATTACGCCGGACACTTCACCGTACGTGACACCAAAGCTGAATGATTAAAAAGTCCGCTGCAATTTGTACTCGCATCCTATTATCTATAATTGTTTAATGTCCACGTACATGGTACGAATACTAAGCAACCAGGATGGCAGAGAGACAAAGCACAACCTTGAAATCCGTGTCGTTCAATTACATTTGCGCAAGACCATCGGCTGTATTTCTTGTGTAAAATGCTTTCTCTCGCGCACACCAAAGTATAAATTTCGAGAATAACGTAACGTATTAGACTAACATCTGCGCTGCAGCGGCGTGGCAGCGGCCGCGCAACGTGGACGATACTTTAACGCGTCTACCCGGCCGAATGCAAAGAAAGAAAACCGAAGGGAACCGCCACGTTACGCGGCCTGTACGTATGTAGTAAGAAAACTGCATCGTGCGAAAATAAAAGGCGAAACCAGTGTCCCGTGTTTCTCGGAATTCACGGTCGCATCGGCAGCGTGCCTTAAACGCCGGCCGTATCGGCCGATTATGCTTGAAAACTCATTTGTTAGGTTTGCACGGCGGTTACATAAAACTGCGCCGGGTATCGGTGTTGCGCAACTCCCTTCGCAAAATGGCGGCCGTGCAACGTACCCGCACGAGCATCCTGTTTGCCGAAATTGTTTGTCCGTGCCGTGGATCGCTAATCAAATTTTTTAACAATCATTTCTCGGTGCGTTCGTCCGGCGAAACTGGTGAAAATTGTGCCCGCGTCCGTCATAAATGACTAGCGTCGATATTTTTTTTTTTTTTTTTTTTTAATTGCTCGATCCGTTCCGTTGGGAACATCCGACCTATTGTCTAGAATAATCGTTCACAGTTTTCCGACAATAGGGAATTCGCGCGTTATCGTGGTCTCGGTTGCGAACATTATTTCGTATACAAATTAATTTGAACAGCGAGGAGGAAAATCGTCGATGGCCCAAAAATCGATGACGGAGTGTTGGCATAATGTTCCGGAAACAAAGGAACGGGGTCCGGTGTGGGTGCGCAGACGAACAGCACGGCCCTGGGACGCGCCTGCATGGGAACATACCCACAGGATCCTGCTCACCGCATACACAAAGGACGAGAGCCACCTTTTGCGCGTAAACTCGTGCCGACCGGATCGCATTCGCGTGCACACACCGGCGAACAGGTTTCTGGATGTTCCCTCTTACGCTAGTGACGTGCTACGTTGCTCAGTATTCGGTATCATTGTCCTCGAGTCTGCCAAATTAGGACCTATTTCATCCACTACAGTTTCCACTACCTCCAGTTAAATTTATTTAAAAATTTAGGATCACTTATAATGTATTTATGAAGGTCTACACAAAGTGCGAAATTAATATGTCTGTTACTTTTATTTTAAAAAATGCGCAAAGACTGTAGGTATAATTTTTCTGTCAAATTTGGACCTATGTCCACCACCTCCAATTAAATTTATTAAAAATTTTAGGATATCGCTTATAATGTATTTATGAAGATCTCCACAAAGTGCGAAATTAATTTGTCTGTTACTTTTAGTTTAAAGACTGCAAGTATAATTTTTCTGTCAAATTTGGACCACAATTTCCACCACCTCCAATTAAATTTATTTAAAGATTTAAGATCACTTACAAAATACTCATAAGGTTCTTCATAAAGTTTCACATTAATAAGTCCATTACTTTCGCATAAAAAAATTAACCCCCGATTAAAAAATATAAAAGAATCCCCAATTACAAGAGTCCACCACAATTGTTCAGAGGGTGCAGAAATTTTTAAAATAAAAATTTGAAACTTTCAACTGTTTGTAACATTTTTATTTAGCACGACGATTCGCGGTCCAGTGGTAAAACACACTCGGACATAGCCGCGATCAAATATTTGAGGTATCACCCGCACTGTTTGAATATTCAAAGCGGCCTATTAAACATTCGAATAGGTCCGATTCTAATTGAAATGCGCGGCCATACTCGACGACGGAATCACAAATGGCGGGCAGGGTTCCGCAGGTATATTTTTCGAAAAATATACGAGCGGGCCGCGACAGGTATCGCGGTACTACTCCGGCAGGACGCTATTCGGTCGTTACTTTCCTTCCGAGAACCGAGTGAGTTATTTCTACCTGAATTCTTGGCCGCATCCTGGCCCCACTGTTCCTCCAGATGGTGAATTCGTTATTTCAGGAAACAATTGCACTTGATTACGACCGACAGAGACTCGTACAGCTCCACCTCGGCGCACGTGCGTCGCGAACAGTGCAAGTATAAATTTTTCTAACAGACAATCTCTTGGAATCGCCACTCGAAACAAGGACGGAGTATGCGAATTTTTCTAAACGAAACCAGCGAACGTATCAAGTTGAAACTTCGCAGACATCTTTACGAATACATTCTAAATGACCCTAAATTTTGTCGTGCAGAAATATTCACTTTTGCGCAAGATCCGGAATTTTTTGTGCGCCGCAAACGTTGCAAATATTTTCTCTAACACACAATTTCTAAAAATCGCCACTCAAAACAGGGACGACTTCGCGAATTTTTTTAAACGAAACCGATAAATAAATCAAGTTGAAACTTTGCGGAGATCTTTACGAATGCTTTCTAAATGACCCTAAATTTTGTCATGCAGAAATATTCACTTTTCCAGACGACCTGGAATTTTTAGTTCCAAAAGAGATGTCTGCTCTTTATCGGATGAAATCGTTAGATTTCTCTTAAGTCGAGAAATTAAAAAATTCTGCGTATACGTGACCGTGAAAACCATATGAACTAAAGCAGATAAAAAATATTGAAAAGTCACAAAACGTGGAATTACACTTGGCATCGAGTTTTCATAAAAATCGCGTAAATATCCGAGTCGGTAATGTACCGATCGCGACGACACAGCGAGACTAAATAGGCTCAGAATTCCGCATAACAACACGCATATCCCGTTACATCGATTCAAGGATCGATGAGGACGATACTGAAAAGTTTAATTAAACCGGGAATACCGTGTGCCTCGTACCGCGCTTTAATTACCGATAAATTGGTAACATTATTACGATGTTCGCGGGCTTAACGATATCGAAACTTCATTTTTCAACCGCGCACCGTTGCGATCGTACAGAGCCGCAGCCTGCCTTCGTTGAATTGCCGATAATTCTCTTATCGCGGATCGGAGGAGAAAAAAAGCGTAGCGAGACTACTGTGCGTCAACGGGAATGAAGACGCAAGGGGCTTTTAAATGGTCATTTCACGCTGGACGCGTCCGAAAATACACGTTACCCGCTCTGTACCACGTAATGACTGTGAATAACGTCTCACTCGGCTCGATGAACCGCCTTCGAAACTCGTTCATCCAAGAAAATCCTGTATAACTCGCCATTCCAGCACACCGTTCTCAGAAAGCATCATTTGCGAATAAAATACACCATGAGAACGACTAGGGTAAATGTCCCAATTTCTGTGGTCGCCTCAATTTCCGTGGCTCCGAATTAGAAACGTAAATAAAAAGAAAAGTTTTATCTATAAATTGATGACTTGTACTTCTTTTATTACGTTTACCTATCAACAGATAAAATTTGGAGAGAAGTGTTTTTCAAGTGTTAAAAATATAATATAAATAAATGTTAGTAATACTATTAAAAAATAATTCAGACATTTCATTACAATTTAATACTACATATGTTATAACATATTATGACCTTTCGAAGAGATTACAACAGCTGAGTGGTTAATACCTCCAATAAATTAAAAATAATGTAACAAGATATTTATAAATCGTTTTAATCTGTTCACTGTTTTGTATTTCAGTTGCTGATTTTTGCCACAAAATTCATAAAATCCAGCAGTCTACTAATGATTGACGATGTACTTTTTATCGCACGATAATTTTGACAAAAACACAACTGTTTCGGATCATTTGTAATTTTATTTACTAATTTTTTAATAACAGACGTATACAATTCGTACGTTGCCAATTCGAATCGTCTAAATAGTCAACTAAATAGTCAAATAATAATATTTACACTATGTTTAAGATAAAACAGTACAAGCATTGGGAGGCTGCAGGAAATAGTTTGGATAAAAGAGGTCATATGTACCCAAATATTATCAAACGTAAATACTATTGAGCCTACGCAAACACTATCACTGCAACAGTGTAAACGGAGAACTGTAACATAAAATGATAACAAGTGTTATCAATTTTTTGACGGTGATAACTAGACTACGGATCTTTATGAAAAATAAAAATTATCCAAGTTAAGTCTAAGAAAACTAAATTAAATATCCTTCCTCTTTTGTAACAATCGTAATGAATCGAAAATAATATAACAATATCCTTAAATTTTTCTAATGTCATTTTGTATTTGTATTTGACCTAACCATTTGTGTTCTAAACGCATAGAATCTAGTGCAGCCTAGTGATAACAATTTTAAAAGATTTCTAGGTTACGGAAAATTTTTGCTGTTCGTTGCGGCGGCGTTCGCGGTGTCAGCCATTATTATGTGTACGAATATGTTTAATGCGACGGCCTTCTGTAGGTCATTCCACTTTCTTCGCTTTTCCACGCAAGGTGGGAGACAAGACTGGAGCCCATATCTCACCCGGTGAAACGCTAAACGCCGCTTTCAACGTGCGAATTAAGATTTATCGCGCGCGCCGTTTGACCGAGAAGCCTTCCCGTGCGGCTCCGTAAAGTCACGACGAAGACTTATGAGTTTTAACTACCAACAGACCGAAGGTTGCCCCGTCGTCTACGTATTTTCCTTCCCTTATCAGTTGTACGAGACCTCGTCGCCGTCTCGCCGAAATATTTGCCCCGCAGTTCAGCCGTAGCGACGACGATCAAACATCGGAAGCCATGAGCTGGAAATCGACAATGTTTAACCTGCTGTAACTTCGTGAACAAAAATGATGCGACGGTCTACCTCGGCTTGTTCTAAACTCTAAACTCTCCTCTTTCACCACCAAACATTGTCACTTACCTACAAGTTAATTTTACTATAGAAATGAAAGCGGAAAGTGAAGACGGTACTTCAACTTTCTCGCAATTTCAGTGCTGCCATACACTTGCGATTAAAACTGGCATAAGATGAGCAAAAAAAATCGTAGGTCCAGCTTTGATGGCGTAATTTAAAGCTGAGAGTCTATACTTTAAGACCACGTAGGTTAAAACGAGGAAAAAAATTCTCCAAGATAGCGGATAAGTGTAAATGCGAGAAATGTCGAAAAACCACCGTCTCGACGTTCGAACCCATTTTTAAATATGAAACCATCTTAAAAAAAAACAAAACAGTTAAGAAGTCTGAAAGTAGAGTCTCAGCCCTGTGCAACGAGCTAACGTTCATTGCGCTACGATTCTTTTTCGCGAAGTTACAGCCTCTTAAACATCCCGCTTCGTTTAATCTCGATTTCAGAGTGATCCGCCATTTCGCAAAAATAATAGACGTTTACGTACGAGATAGGAACGAAGTGTAGCCAATTTTCAAGGACACAGCCGGACGGACTCGGAGGGAAAGTGTTCCATCGGTGCCCGCCGGGAATCTTCCCAGCAACTGGACCGTGTAGGAGACGCGCGCAAGAAACGGGGGAAGTAAAATTAATCTAAATTAAGTAATCGCCTTCTCCCCCGGCTGGCTAAGAAGGTCGATGCCTAAACGAGACGAAGAAGGCTCCTCGTCGCCCATACCCATAATCGCCCCCTTCCTCTTTCTCTTTCCATTCTCAACAGAGTACATACTTCAGCCGGGCGCTGGGCCGCGCGGAGCGGTCCGTTCGTACGGTATGCGCCATCTGCTATCCGTCTGCTGGTTAATTAATTGACCGGCTTGTCCTTCCCTTCACTTACATTTCGCTCTTCTTCCAGCGCGCCTCGTCGTCGCCCGGCATTGCGATAATAATAAATTCACAGTGGCGAAACGGTCCTTGCCGACGACTAGGCTCCCGGGCATCGATCTTCTATGATCACCCATTAATTATGCCGGCACCGCGTGTCCTCTCGCGAAAATGATGTATCCGTCCCCGACCAGCGGATGGAAAATTAGCTGCCACCTCTGATTCGGCCTGTGTCAAAACCATCGCCGTTCCGGCCCGCGTCTCATCATTTCTCAAACGAGCCTCCACCGCTGAAAGTATCGAAATTCGCGCTGGAGCCACTTTCCACGGTCAATTTGACGATTAAAAGCTGGATTTAATCTAGTAAGGCAAAAATTATCTCGCACTAAGCTCTCTCGTGTTCGTAAGACAATGCTACTTCGTAGAAGTGGTTAGGCAGAAATTAATCTGAGCGATGATCGACGAGAGGAACTCGTTGGTTATTATAGATTATTATAGATTAGTAGTAATAACTAATTTATAATTATAACTAGTTGGAATAAATAACTAATTTATGATAATTTACAATAACCAACGGGTTCTAAACATTAATCACTGATAACTATATTCTTGGAAGCTATTTTTGTGTTACATCGACAGATGTAACTCATTCAATATGGACACCCTGTATTAAGAGCGTGGGTCCGTGGATAAACGACGAGGTTCGCTTCAACTGCTCGCTATGGATGTTCGTGCAGTAAATGTTCCTAAAAACGGAGTCATAATTATAACGAAAAGTATCGCACAATGTTTCATTCAGCAAGCCAATTTCCAACAAATTTAGACCCAGCCGGCTTTCTAGCAGCCATCTGGGTCGGTTAGCTAACAGTTAGCTACCAGGTGTCGTACGCAACCACGATCCCGCGGAACGTCACTAAATCATTTTGAAGTAAAACAGTGTAGAAGAGGATCGTAGAACGGTGGTATGAAGGATTTGGCGGGAATGCACAACAATCAACGTGGCTGGCAGAGCTCCGTGGCAAAAGTAAGCTCAGCAGGAATGATAAACACCTGGATTCCGTTGAAGCGAGCTCTCAATCATTTTCCGGGCGTATGTACAAATTGTAGGCCGGCTAGATGAGGACATCAAGGATCAGCCATAAATCCCGAGGAACGCGATCGAGGAAGCCGGTAGCGTCTGAAAGCGAGGCGTCCACGACGGACACCCGCAATTAGGTTCATAAATCGCGCGGGAGCATCCGGCCAATATATATATATATGCATACATTCGAGAAACGAGTGCACGTTAATTGCATCGGACAAGGCGATCGTTTTGGAGCAGCCGCGATAGGGAGTTAATTAACCACGGTGTCAAACGCTGACACGCCGCTGGACTTGTTGCGATCCGGCTTTTCATTCTTCCCATCGTTTCCTCTTCTAGGAGGGAAACGAACAGGCGCGGCGCGGCGCTGCGCGCGGCCGTGTTGTCCGTCCGTCCGCATCCACGCCGGCGGTGCACCAGCTGGGCTCGAAGCCAACTTTTCCACGGCACCGTACCCGCTGGATGTTTGACTTCTCAATAACAGTTCCGCCAAAACTTCGCGACGTTTAAGCAGCCATCATGCGGTCGCCTGCCCCCTTTTACCCTGCCGGAAGTTGCCGACTCTTTTGGCACGACCGGGCAACCTGCAACTTTTTTGTTTCTGATCGCTCGGGGAGAGCTAGTTTCCAAGTCCCATCATTTCGGATTCAAGGGACATGCTTATCAAAGGATACTGTTGCCGTTGGGCTCATTAGGAGATTAAATCTGGATTCAATCTGGGAGTGGATCAAGTCAAGATTAAATTCAGGATCACTGAAGTCCAAGTTTAAGATCGGCCAGCATCGTGATCAGGTCTGAATTAAGATTAAGTTTGGAGCTAGATTCAATTGGAATTAGGTGCAGATCTTAATTACGTTAGGCGTAACCAGGTCCAAATTTAGCCAGGATTGAGTCTCTTTTTTTTTATTAAGACGGATTTAAGTCAGGGTTAAGCCCAAGTAAGGACGGATCAGTATTAAGTCTCGGTCTAGATTAGGTCTGCGTTAAGTCGCTATAAGCTCTGGTGTAGGTTAACTCAGGATTAAGTCTGAGTTAGGATTATTTCAGCATTAAGCCTGAGTTAGGACTAACTCAGCATTAAGTCCAGGTTGGGATTAACTCGGCATTAAGTCCAGATTGAGATTTAGTCAGTAATAAGTCCAGGTTGGAATCTTGAAATAGTCCTGATCTAGATTTAACCCTATGATGCTTAAGGGATGATCAAGAAATGTCCATAGAATATTAAACATGTATTTTTATTCTAACAATATTCTTTAGTCAACCAATTTCATTAATACCGTTAAAAAATACATTTAGATATTTATTAATGCAAAAATAAAGTATACAAAATTTATAAAAGAACATCACTAGAATCAAAATACATATATGAAATTTCATAGACATTATTCGACCTTCCCTCAAGCATTCTAGGGTTAAATCTAAGTCGGAACTAAATCAAGCTCACGTCCAAATCCATTCGAAATTGATCAACCCAGACGAAAAGTAAACTTAAACGACTCCATCCTCAATTCATCCTGGTTCAGAAGGTCCAAGGACCTATCGTACCCTAAACTAAAATTACCTTAAACGCACCCAGGTTATCCCAAGTTGCATTAAACCAGTGTCAGACTATTTTTAAGCTTAACGACGTCGATAATAATGACTTCCGTCCGGTTCGGAAGCCTGGTCAGTGGAAAGTCTTGGCTTCTGGACTACTCAGCCACCCTCCTTCCATCGGGTGCACCGATAACTTTCGTTCCAGTGTTCCGGCTGAAAAGCCGAACCCGATACGGATTACCGGGACGCAATTTTGGCCCTGTCCGGGGAGAGCGTCTTCGTCCTCGAGGATTTCCATAGCCATTAGAGAAAACTTTGGACACGTACCGGCTCGTCGTATCTATCGAATCGTCGGGCACCGGTTGTCCGTTCGCGAAACTTTCGTTGTTAACAGCGACAAACTCCAGCACGCCCGTGGGGCAGTTCGCGAGCGATGTTTCATAAATTTCCTCCTGTCGATTAGCGAGCGCCGCGGTGGCCTCTGTCGATCCAATTTCTTTTCTCGATCTTCCGCCGCGTCGACGTTACTTGGTCCTTTCGACGAATTGTAACAGCTCTCCTCACCCGCCCCCCTCTCTCTTTCTCGCTCTTTCGCAACCTGCCACCGCGGATAACCAAGTTTCGACGTGGCTCTTTATTGAGAAATCTCCTGATGGGTAGTACGCCAACGATAGAAATTGTTCGGTCCCCCATTGTTATCCCCGAAGCACGAAGAAACGCGATGTATACTTTAATCTCGACGAAAAATGTCCCCTTTCTCTTCCTCCTCCACTTTTACCCCGGCACTTCTTCTCTCGCCGTACTTCCGCAGATTCGAATCGGAAGTCTTATTGTTGCTAAACGGGCGGACCGGTTCGATGAATGAAACGAGACGGCTTTGAGTGCTACATTTCCTGAATTATTGCTGTCTCCGTGATTCGAGGCGCGCGCCGAGCCGTCGAAGATGCTCCCTTCGGTTCGGAAATTACCACGGTCAGCGGAATCATCGAGCACCGTTCATTAGCACGTTTGGTCGCGACGTGTCTTGGTCATTTTATGACCAAGCTGCTCGTACTCGAGCAGCCGGGTTGTAGAGACCGGGTCGGAGCTCATAAATCCGTCGAGGAACGGGGCGCATCGACGAGCAGAGTCAGGCCTGGGTAAAAATAGAGTAGACTGCGGATTTTATGCATTTATAGTAAAAATATGTAGCCGAGGTACGAAATTGCGAGGACGAAAGTTGAACCATTTTTGACTCATGAAAATTATCAGGAGGAACAATTTAATTTTATTTATCTACTGTTTCTTACAATCAAAAATAATTATTTCGCACAAAGATTGTAAGTTATTGTTAACACTTTGCGGTCGACTGGCAAGTCTAAGGCAGTCTAAGGCAGATTTTTGTTTACGTTCAAAAATCTGTTAAAAGTGTGACTGTTGCACGAATCACAAAATTCAGTTATAATAATAAAATGAAAATGCTATAAGTCAGAAGAACGATTTTGGATTTCGAGTTACAATGGCTCAAGCTGCAAAGAGGAGCACCAATTACTGTACCCAGCACAATCATCAGGTAAAATAAATAGTAATCGCAGCCGAAGTGAGGGATATGACTGCAGCGCCGTTTAGGGTAACGTCGTTAGGCGTCCAATTCCTTAGGAAATCAGCTGATAAACTGGGTCTCCAGCGTTCCTCTGTCGCCCAGCCTCCGCGCAACGAATGTCCGTAGGATATCGGTTTAGCAACCCCACGGATGCCAGTGCTTATCTCGTTGTCAAACTCCTGACAGCGAACGTCAGACTCCGGGTGCCATTCCAGGACGTCCGAGTGGCTGCTACCGAGGAATTCTCCGCCTCCCTCTTTGTGGGCTTGTCAAATCTTTGCCATGGGGCCGGTATGCCGTCTAATATACGCAACGCGAGATGACAGCCGGCTGTCACCTTTGACAGACAATTGTCCTGCCGCTGGAGCCACGCGTTTCACTTTCTCTCTTTCTTCGCCGCGCCACGAACCGTCTATTTCGGACCCGGCGCTGCTCCAACGCGTCCCACGGACGACCAATTACTGTGCCCTGACTGCGGACTTCAAGAGTTGTCGCTACTGAAGAACAATTGCAGCAACTTCGTTGATATTTTTTAAGAACTTAGCGGTCAGATAAATTCGTATGAAATTTTATTCGCAGAAATTATTCGAGAT